ATAGTTGAGGTTCAAAAATATTTTTGATACCTATATTGGTTGTTGAGAATTTAATTTTTAAGCTTCAAAATCTACCTCGCAAAACTTTTGACGAAACCTAATATATATACACACTTTATAAGACACAACTAATTTGCACATGTTGTATAAGAGTTGCTTTATTATATATCTAATTATTATGGTATCTTATCAATTTATTTTCCGTTCAACCTTTAGTTTATGAGTAGTATATTTATGACTAACCAGTAACAATTGATATGATTCATTTATAAATATATCGATATTTATACTGATATTATTTTATTTAATTATGATAATATTATGAGTGTTTAATAATTGAAATGCATAATACATTGTGACATATTTAATTTTTCCTAACACACTCAGATAATATTTAATATAATAATGTTTAGTCACGTAAAACTACTTAACTTTAAATAAATATTAACCTAGTCTATAAATCTATTAGTCATAAATTTAGAACAGACTTAGCTGGATCAAAAATAAAAAAGATAATAATTATTACTAATAAATTCAGTAGACAGGAAATAGTTTATGTGCAAAATAAACTAATTAAGTAATATTATTTCAATCGTAAATTAAGATTAATTATTTATTTAGTCATAAGTTTTTATAACATTAAACAATAACATCCAAGTTATATTTTTAAAATTATTTTAAAGTAGTGTCATTAAAGTAATTAATTAATAAGGTATTCGAATTATATAAGAATAAAATTCTTTTTCAAAAATTTTGATTTTTAATATGAAAAAATAATCAATAAATAGCAGATGTGTCCAGACATTATTTATTGTTTTTTTTACAGGTAAACAATTTTAGAGTCAATTCTAATTAATGTTATATTATTTGACAATTTTTATAATCCCTTTCATTATAAGCCATTAGTAATCTCTACTCATACATGTGTTATGGTATTTGTGATTAGTTTTTAATAAAATGATTACAAGTACTGTAATAATGCTCACTCTTACCCACCTGAACACATCTGANACTCATACATGTGTTATGGTATTTGTGATTAGTTTTTAATAAAATGATTACAAGTACTGTAATAATGCTCACTCTTACCCACCTGAACACATCTGATAAATATGCATTTGTACTTTGTAACATAGTGATATCTACTAATCTTTTACATAGTATAATTTACTGTACCGTGCTCATATTGTGATACTTTTTAATATTTGCCATGTTGCAAAACGATTGTTAAAAGTTGCTGTATCAAAAATATTTTTAAAATTATTTTTTCAACAAACTAATATTAAACTTAAAGCACCTATTGAATTATATCATACTAAAATGGTCGAGTGGGTTCGTGAGCAAATTTCAAATAAGGGAGCCAGGTACACTGACCTTTGGTATATTGGTGGCGGGTCATACGGAACGGTAGTTTCCGCGTACGACAACCAAACCAATGAAAGGGTGGCCATCAAGAGGATTGTATTACAGAATCGGCAGCCCTTTTATAAGTACACACTTCGCAAGATTAAAATACAGACCAGTTTTAGTCATGAAAATATCATTGATATCCGGGATATAATCATAAAACCCGGAACCAATGATAGGATGTCTGTCTATATTGTTCAGTCCCTTATGGATATTGATTTGCATAATTTACTGAAAATTACTAGGTGAGAATTGATTCAAAATATATTATTATGGAAACTGTCATATGCTTTATTACATGTATTTGTTTATAGGCTAACCAATCAGCACGTATGTTATTTCTTATACCAAATGCTACGCGGTTTAAAATACGTACACTCGAATGTATTGCACCGGGATCTCAAACCCAGCAATAAATTAGTAAACTCCACGTGCGAACTTAAAATCTGCGACTTCGGACTGGCCCGAGTGGCCGACCCATACTACGACCATACCGGTGCTCTAACTGAATACATGGCCACTCGATGGTATAGGGCACCGGAGATTATGCTCAATAGTAAGGCCTATACTAAAGCGATCGGTGTTTGGTCTGTTGGCTGCATATTAGCCGAGATGCTCGACAATCGGCCCCTATTTCCGGGTATTTAACTATATTTAACTACAGTTCCCATTATTTTAGATGCGGTTTTGTGTATATATTTAAAATTTATTTATTTGTTCTACATAAATCAACTAGCCGTAAACTATCTGGATCATCTGAATCGCATACTGGACGTATTAGGGTCGCCATCGGCCGATGATTTGAACTGCATAATCAACCCGAAAACGCGGACATACATCCTGTCCCTACCTTTCAGGCTTAAGATATCCTGGGCTCAAAAGTATCCCAATGCTAATCCTGACGCCCTGGACCTTTTGAACCGAATGTTAACATTTAATTCGTGGCAACGAATTACGGTAGACGAGGCACTGGCCCACTCATACCTCAGTGAGTATTATGACCCACAGGACGAACCGGTAGCCGACCAGCCCTTTACTTTTGAGATGGAGTCGGACGACCTCCCAAAGGAGGTGCTGAAGGAACTGGTGGTAGAGGAGACGTTCAGGTTTCATACCCGACCGTATAATTTAGTAGCATGATTAAATTCATTTATTATAATATTAATTGCATTTATAATCAATATAATAAAAATATGTTACAGTTTTCAAGAACAACATAACAGAGCTTAAAATTACACTTTAATAAAACAATAATAATAAAAGCAAAGTTGAAACTAATCTTTGGATTTCTTAACCCTCAAATAGTTTATGAACTATATTTTGATAGGTCAGTTCAGAACTAACGGATTGAATTGAATTTATTGTTAGTTAGGCACGTAATGCAAGCAACATAAGCTGATTTCCAATACAGACGTGTTAAACTAATGTTGATTATAGCGTTTATTTATGTATATGTATAAAATTAAAATATTTAACTTTGTTGAAATATTAAATATATACAAATTTTATATAAGTAAAATGATTTATAAGCAAACAAAACCCAAATGAATTTTTAAAGCTACAATAAATAAAATTATAAAGATAGTGAATTATACATTGGTTATTTCAATAACAAACAGTCCATATGTATGAATGAGATTTAAAGAGTGTTATCTCTAAAATTCAAATACAGATTGAATTATAAAGTGTTCAAACTTAAGTCACTTATTGTTTGCTCAATTCACTATGTATTAGTCTATTAATCAATGCCTAGCTTTAAATTCATTTAACTATTACTTTTAAATCATTGACAATTTGTTTAAAAGTAGGCCTATCCCGATTATTATCTAACCAGCACCGGGTCATCAATTCATACACAAATTTAGGACAATGGATGGGACATGATAGACGGCCACTATTTTTAATATAATTTAAAATATCTCTATTTTCTATACCGGGGTATGGTGTATCACCACGTGTAAACAACTCCCATACCAATATACCATATGCCCAAACATCTGTTTTAGTATTATATGTACCTCTTTGTAGGCTTTCCGGTGCCATCCATTTGACGGGTAGTTTGCATTTAGTGTTATCACTGCTATAATAGTCCATTCCGTATATATCCCGGGAAAGTCCAAAATCACCAATTTTGACACATAATTTCAAGTCCAACATACAGTTCCTCGCAGCCAGATCGCGGTGTATAAAATGGTTGTTTGCTAGATAATCCATTCCTTCAAATTTAAACAAACTTTTAAAAATGTTAAAGATTTCATTATTACTTTAACAGCATATCATTTTAGTACATATGAATATATTCAAATTGGGATAACACATTTTGTCACTAGATAATTCAGTAGGCAAAAATATTATTGAAATTTGTGTTTTTCATATAAAATTTAAAACACTATATCTTATGTATATTTTGTATTCAGTTAAAATGCTTTAAGTTTTATTGAATTTAAATAGTAAGTTATTGTATTTGTAAAGTATTGAATTTAAAGCACATTTAAATAGTATTCTAGCTACTGAATTATATTAATTTATATTATGAAACTATATATCCTAATTTTAACAAACCTTCAGCAATGTCTAATGTGAATTTCAATAATCTTTCGCCGGTTGGATTATTTTTATCATCGCGTAGATACATTAATAGGTCACCATTTTCCATAAACGGCAACAAAATTATCGGTCTACCATTGTCATCGAAAGATACCCCCATTAATTGTAAAACATTTTTATGTTTAAAACTCTTTATTGAAATGGCCTCATTGAGTGTTTTATCAACGTCAATATCATTTCCAACAATAGCTATAAAGTAAAAGTAAGTTTGCATAATTAATGCGTAGCCGTTGATTTGACCTACAATACCTATAATGTTAAAATATTATCCAATTTATAACGGTTCCGACCATCATATCATTGCATGTGGTATATCGATAGAATCAGCTCAATGAGTTGAATGAGAAATTATCTTCTTGAGTTGAATTAAATAGAATTATCTTCTTTGACCATGGAGGAATATTAGCTGATCCAGATTAAGAAGTGAATTTCTTAACCGACTCATTGAGCTTACTCCAACCATATATCACATGCAATGATTCGATGGTCGGAACCGTTAATATTTTAGTATTGTACACTTCATATACTCGAATACCTCATCGTGTAGGAAAACCGGGAGGATATAGGGGGAGAAATGTACAAAACAATTCCCACCCTTACACTGTATACTAAACCTGGGCGTTTTACTACTACATTTCTACCACATGTGGCATTGGTCAATATATTCTGATATTGTAGGTATTGTAGGTCAAATCAACGTAGGTAAAATCATAGACAACCTAATTAATGATATTATTATTATGTACTAAATTTAAATTAAGATTATAAAAATGTTTTTTAAATTTACTTTTTGCTGCAATATAAAGATAATTTCTCATTCAACTCATTGAGCTGATTCTATCGATATACCACATGCAATGATATGATGGTCGGAACCGTTATAAATTGGATAATATTTTAACATTATAGGTATTGTAGGTCAAATCAACGTAGGTAAAATCATAGACAACCTAATTAATGATATTATTATTATGTACTAAATTTAAATTAAGATTATAAAAATGTTTTTTAAATTTACTTTTTGCTGCAATATCCAGGTCTATTATACTATTTTTAATATGTAAGATGGCTTTATACACCTTTCCAAATTGTCCATGCCCGATAATATTTTTAAGTTCGATATCATGGAAATCGATTCTCAATTTGTATGAATCCAATATTTTATCAATTTTATTGGAAATTTGAGAATTTTGGTGAATTTTTGAATCATCGGTATAAATGAATTTGGTATTTTCATCATTAACTATGTATTAATTAAAGTAATGTGTTGTTGCCAATAATTTATTGGTTATTCAATTTAAAATAAAATATTTATAAAAATTTACTCACAAGTATCATTTGAACCACCATCCTGGTTATTTTGGTAATGTAATTTGTCAAAATTTTTCAATCGATAGGTAGTTTGGTTGGACCTTTTAATTTTAATGTTGACTTGCTTTTTCCTGTAAATAATTAATATTATACCAATGATTAACACAATCATTATAACTGCTCCGATACTAATTATTATCCAAGTTGTAATATTATTATGAGTGTTGTTTTCAAGATTTGTCGCATTTGGTGAATCAATATTAAAGTTATTATAATAAAACTCACCACCATCTAATGTAGTAAGTGGAGTATTAACATGTTGAATTTTTAAAGTATTATTTTCGTATAAATGGCCAATTGTAAAACTTAAATTTTTACCAATATTAACAATTATATTCCTGTTATATGTATCATACCCACTAGGTTTCCAATAACAAATTAACTGATTTGAATTGAGAGAGGTAACTGAACATATTTCGTTTCCAATTTTTACTTCAACATCCGATATATGGCACCCTTTATTAAGGTTTTTACCATTTATTACCAAGTAGCCATTCTTATAATATTTGTAAAAATTAGTATTGTTATACGGATAGTATATGGGATTCCGATATATTTTAAATTTAGGAAATGGATCCTTTCGACGGCTACTCAAATTCATTACTGATTTCACCGAGTCCATTATGAAACCAAAGTCTACTTCGACAAAATTACGATCATTTGTAAAATTTAGCTTATTTATCGGCACGTACGGACTTTTGCATTTTAGTATATTAATATAAGAATACATGTTTTCACAATCGCCAAAATATTTTTCCTTTTCAATTTCCAAATATAAAAATGGATTATCAATGTTACTCATATAATATCCTAAAACAGTAATAACTATTCCACCATTTTGAATGACTTGAGGTTTTCTATTGTCACCTGAGTTTACAATAGTAACAATCGGATTTTCTAAATAATTAAATGTATATCCACTTTTATGGGTTCTGTTATCAAATTGAACTTTAATATCAACACCACCTGTCTGATTTGCATTTGGTGAAATAAATTCCATTCTATTATGCAATCTAATGTGATTCTCAACATAACAATATTTACCTCCTAAAAGTACATTGACAGTTGAACCGGCATTCAGATATTCACCAAAAATTTGGAATTTAGTACCACCGTCAATTGGTCCATATGGGTGATCGATAAACATTATTTTGGGTGATACCATACTAAATGATTGATTAGATTTTATAATTGACTGCTCATCAATGTTTGTACCATATACTATAATAATATTGCCATGTTTCGTATCTAAAAAAAGTGGCTCATTTGTCACTTCATATGGACTCTGAACGATGCAGTGTAAGATGTTAAAAGGTTCAAGTTCGTAATTATTAAGAATATCATCGCGTTCACAATTAATGGTTTGGTTGTCCGTTAATTCAATATATATTTTGAAGATTTTAAATTTATTCATAAAATCAAGACTTTGTATGGTGATATTTGTGCCACCCTCCCATGGAGCGTATCGTGGCCAATAATGTTGTATACATGGTGGTATATCATTGCAATTTACGATAAAATTTAATAACCAAAATGTTGATATATAGATGATCACGTATAATGAAAGTTGAAATGTGATCTTTGTTAATTTAAAATTATTCGTTGCACAATATTTATACATCATTTCTTTTACTAAAACAAATAATTAATCAATTTAATATGTACACTAATTATCACTTAGCATACTATTGACACGTATTCAAAAATGGTTATTATACAGAAGAGAATAAACGGGAACTGGCAAATTGACCTAAAAACCAATTGACCTAAACTTAAATAACTTAACTTACTATTTAAATTCAATAAAACTTAAAGCATTTTAACTGAATACAGAATATACATAAGATATAGTGTTTTAAATTTTATATGAAAAACACAAATTTCAATAATATTTTTGCCTACTGAATTATCTAGTGACAAAATGATGAATAGCTTATCATAATTTAAATTTGTAGTCTCGTTTATCTAACTAATTTATATTGTATCTGCTTATTATAATTATATTAAAGGAACTGGCAAATTGACCTAAACTTAAATAACTTAATGACCAATAGACTTTTTACCATTGTAAGGATAGGTAAGGTTAGGTTATGTCAAGGGGAACATTTTACACTGGTCATCAGGTATATTGACCTACTGGTCATTAAGTTATTTAAGTTTAG